CCCCATACAGTAATATATCTTTCTTGTGTATGATCCTTTAAATAAGCAGAAATTTTTGCCATTTCTGCAAAACTAGATACTTTAAATATCCATTCTTCTAAAGTAGGCAAGGAATCTTTCTTCCAATATAAACCTACTAGTAACCTTGCTGCAGTTAATAAATTCAACATCAAAGTAGTTTCTTTTTCATTTAAGTCAACAAAAATACCAAGTAAAAATAGTTGAGGAGTAAACTTTATCTTTTTTCTAAAAATCTTTTGAATGTTCCACCAAATCATAATCCAAAAAGCCTTTACTTTTTTACAGTTCCACCAAATATGAAAGTATGTCGCATCATTATTGCCACATCTCCAACATTTGGGCTGTATGTTGGAATACATACAAGATAATTTTTTAGGATCTAAGTGCCATCTATAAAACATTTTATAAAAATTTTCTCTCAGATTTTGAGCTTGTGTAAATTTAACATTTCTTATCCAAATTGTCTCCCATAAATCCAATGAGATCGGCTCCTGTATATTCTGAGCCCATTTAATCATACAGTCTTTAACCAATTCTGTTTCCGAATCTAACTCTAATAAAACATTATATATTCTTTTTATATGAGCCGGACCTTGGTTTTTAATCTGAATAACCAATTGTCTATCTTCTAGTGTTATTCCCTCTTTCTTGTCTACAGTCCATCTATCCATTATTTGTAAATATTGAAACCATGACTGTAGAATATTTTGCTGCCTTAATACATCTAGGGATTTCAAATGCCAATTCGAACCAGAACAAATTAACAATTCTTTGTATGAAATTTTATCAAAATTTGTCCCCTTAGAAGTTCCCTCAATTGCATGTCTGGGAATCCCCCAGATAGGTATTTTATAATTTAATCTATAATAATACTTCTTCCAAACACGAAGTAAGGCATTCCTCAAAATATGTGATTTAAAAGTCCGATCAACTTTCTTATTAAAAATTAAATATGCATGCCAACTATATATTAAATCCCAACCTTCCAAAAAAAGAATATCCATATTTGTTAAATTAAGCCAATCACTTAACCAAGTTAGGGCGGCTGCATCATAATATAATTTCAAATTAGGTGCCTTAAGTCCCCCTCTTTCTCGAGCATCCTGTAATATCTTAAATTTAACCCTTGGTTTCTTCCCGGCCCATATAAAATTATTGATACCCTTTTGCCATTCCTCCAAATTTGCCTCTTTTTTAAGAATAGGTATCATCTGAAACAAAAAAAGAAACTTTGGTAGAACATTCATTTTTACAGCTGAAATTCTCCCCAACAATGACAATTGCAATTTTTTCCAATCTCTTAAATCCTTTTGGACTTTTGCCCATAGTGGTTCGTAATTGTTCTTATACAATTTTCCATTTGAAGCAGTTAGATATACTCCCAAGTATTTAACCTTTTTTACCATCTGAAAACCTGTGGCTTTAATCAAACTTTCCCTTTCTTTAACTGACATATTCTTAGATAATATCTTAGTCTTATAATTATTAACTTTAAAACCAGAAACATTCCCATACTGTGTTATAAGTTCTAATAAACCATCAATTGCCTGATTCGGCTGTTCCAAAATTAAAACCAAATCATCCGCAAATGCCCGCAATTTATACTCATTCTTCCTTATCTTTACACCCTTAATTAACTTCGATTCCCGAATCTGAATCAATAAAATTTCCAATGTTAAAACAAATAACAATGGGGATAATGGACATCCTTGTCTTGTCCCTTTTTGAATATTAAAATTCTCAGTCAATCCCCCATTTACAACAATTTGTGCAGATTGCTGCTGATATATAGCTTTAAGTGCATGTAAAAAATTATCCCCAAAATTCATTTTCTCTACCAAAGAAAATAAAAATTGCCAGTCCAATTGATCAAAAGCTTTTTCAGCGTCCAAAAAAATAAAAGCCACAGGAATCTGATTATTCTTATCCAAGTACTCAATTAAGTTAATAATTTGTCTAACATTATGTTTCATATATCTCCCTGTTATAAATCCTGCTTGATCACTATGAATCAAGTCTTTCATAACCTGCATTAATCTATTTGCCAAAATTTTTGTAAAGATCTTATAATCAACATTCAATAATGAAATTGGCCTATAATTCTTAGGCTCTGTAAGATCCTGATCTTCCTTCGGAATCAGTGATTGGAAATTGGTTTAGCTATTAAGCAGTTAAAGGTTGGAAAGTCTCCTGGAACAGATGGACTGACTTCTAGGTATTATAAGATCTTATCTGAAGAAATGATAGAGCCATTAAAGGAACTCTTTAATAGTATTTTGTTGGGTATGCAAGTTCCTCCTTCTTGGAAAAGAGCCTTTATCTTCAATGTATTTTTGTTACAGTAGATAAAATTCCTTTCACAGGACTGATGTCCATACAACTGATGGTGGATTGCAGCCTATGGAAATATGCTGTAATATATTTGTTATTTTTAAAAATGATACAGGATATTTCTGGGCTTGTTGTATACAGGGAGCTTAAATGCTTAAGTATACAGTACAAAATGTAATTTTTTTAGTTAGGGTGCAACATAAGGCATACATTCAGTGAAAAATAATATGAATATTAAAAATAATCTGTATGATGTTGATACACATCCACTATTACCAGTAATATTTTTTTCCAGATTTTCAAGTTGATAAGTCTAGTGGGAACAATAAAAATACAACAGCAAGAAGATGTACACTATGGCCTTGCTTATTTCATTCCCCTTTCAGCTCTCTTAAAAACCGTTATCTATCTCCAACCTTTGTGCCATGCAGCTAGGATACAGAATATACAAGGAAAAGTGAAGAAAAAAGGTAAATAATAGTATAGGAAGAAAGTGAGGGAACAGCAGATTTGGAAAGGTTGCAAATGGATGTACTGTAAGGAGATAGTTAACATTTGGCCATCTTTTGTCTCACGCTGCTTGAATTTCAGGCACTAAGTTTGGAGTGTAAACATCTGTTGAACATAAGGCATGTGTTGGCCAGATTGTGCTGTTTCAGGCTCAGATAGAAATTATATAAAATCACGAAGTGTCTGACACCAAGGTATATAAAGGAGGGATTGATCAGAGGAGACACAAGAGAGAGAAAATCAGACAATAACCGAACAATAAAATTTTGACAGGATTTCCTTGATGCATTCTGGATTTTATAATCATGGTCAAGAACAGTCCATCCACACGCCCAATCTCTCTTCAGCAGCCAAGCTTAATCGTGAATTGTTCTAATCTTTCATGTTCCATATTGTAGCCAATAGTTCCGAAGCCAGGACCCACAGGGATAGCTGTGTTCAGTTACTGCATATAGGAGACAGAGTCATAACCCCATAAAAATTATTTCTGACATTTGGGGAGCAATAAATTATTATCTTTATGAGGAGCAGCCATGTTCATAATATACTGTCCAGGTTTTCTAAATATATGGAACTCTTCTTGAGATTGGATAGTTAGATAACACAGAACAAGTTTTTGATGAAAATAGCAATTTATTTGCAATTTATTTCAGCCTTATAGTGAATGTTTCAGGAGTGGGTGATGAGACAAGTCTAATAGCCAAAACTCTTTGACTGACTCAGTCTTTACCATTTTAGAAATCTTTAGATTTTGGGTGACATGGTTTATAATTCTATTTAGCAAGTCCAAAGGCCATTCTGGAGATAATAGTACAATATGGCTGCCTTAAGATACACGTGCAGCAAAAAGGCTTTGGTTGTTCTAGAGCAGGCATGTCAAACTCGTGACGTAACGTGACATTGCATGACGAATCGCGACTTTTCCCCCATTGCTGGCAATGGGGTGGGCACAGTTTCAGTGTGATGCATCTGGCCTGTGGGCTGGCAGTTTGACATGCCTGTTCTAGAGCCTAGAGGCACTGCATTTCTAAACAGCGGAAAAATAAGAGACTACAAATGAAAAATTATTTAAAACCAGAGGCTGATAAAACCCCACTTTTTGTAAGGCAAGCCTTTCTTTAAAAGAAAAACTTATACTATATTATGCAAATAGCCATTGGAGAGGAAAACAGGTTTTTTTGTAGAATGGAATTTCCTGTCCTAAGAATGGTCATCAAGAAGGTGGTCTACAGTTACCTGTCTTATTTCGAACCATTTCTGGTATCTCAGCATTCTTGTTTAATCTTTTTACATTTCTGATTATCAAGATATAGTATTTCAAATGCACTGCATTAGTCCAGATATGATGTAACTCTGGCATGCATCATTGTTGTTTAATCTACCTTCTCCAAGGAATTGATGTAACTAGAATTCCAATCTCAGATAGTCAAAGGCATTCCTACTCAGAAGGCTTGAAGCCTGCTCCAAAGATATCACAAAAATATACATGTTTTCAAGGGGAGTCTTTCTCAGGACTTCACCACAATGTAATAGTATTTAGCTTTTCCAATATCTATACGCTAGTCTAGCAGAGTTTTTCAATCTGAGGGCCACACAGTATAGATGTGAGCTGAATCAAAAGTAAACCCATGTTAGTTTGCCAATGCAATACTACAAAACCCATATTTCAAATATTACAAAATCCATCTTACACAACCCTCATATCTCAGAACCTTAAGATATGAGGACTTTGACTCCCACAATTATCCAGCCAGCATGCTGGCAGGGAATTCTAGGAGTTGGAAGTCCACACATCTTAATATAGCTAAGGTTGAGAAGCACTCTTCTACGTAGCAAGCTTGATTCTCAGTGCTTATTAGCCACAAACACAAGAGAGATGTCAATCACTACTTCTTTTAACTTCAGTATTTTCAGAAGTTAAAAAGAAAGTGCCTTAAGGAGAGGGGGGTAAAGGTCAAGGCTGAGACGAGAAAGGGACGGCCATGAGAACCAGGGCACGATTCCAGTGGAGGGAGGAGACGGCAGAGGGAAAGGGAGAACGCGCAAGGATAGCTTTAATTGAAATAATTTTTTTCCGAAAATTTTGCTGCGGGTCGAATTTGATATTATGATCCATTAGGTGTTACACATCAAGCCCTTTCCGAACTGTTCCAAGCTCCATTAGAGACATCCACGCCAGATGCAGAAACCTTCAAAGAGAGACCCGCTCGAGAAGTTGGGAGAGCTGAGGGCGTTGATCACAGCGCATGCGCGGCATCATGTGACCGTCGCCCAGTCTTCCAAGATGGCAGCGCCCAGTTCTGCTCTTCGGACTCTTCAGCATGTGCAGGTAGAGCGGAGGTCTGGCCGGGAGGGCGGGGGGAATTCGATCCTCGAACAAGGGGAATGATATTCTGACTCAGTGTTTCGTCGCCTCGCCCGGGACAGCGTAGCTCTGGATCATTTAATTCAGCTCGGGAGCTTGAACGGCAACCACGTTATGGTTGCATCCCCCTTCGTGTATTCAACTTCCCGCAATTCTTCTTTTGTAATACGGCTGCTGTCTTTTTCCAAGAGAAGTGGAAACCAGTGTCGGGTATTTTTAGTATGTTGAACTTACCTCGACAAAATTCATTTTTTATTGCATCTATACTTACTGGGGGCCAATCTCCGTCTCCCAGACTAAGCCAGCCCGTGATATCGGTGCAAAGGAAATAGTGGGATATATAGAGCCCTGAACTCCTAGGGATAAAAGTAGATTGTAAATGTAGCAAATAAATAAAAATAAATTTGGTGTTTGGAATTTACACATATACAGATTTTAGGCTAGCTTCTTCCTGATATGCTAGTTTGTTATGTACAGGTATCTTAAAATAATTAAAATGATAACTTTAGAGTTAAAAGATGGAGAAATAAAGTTGCAAGCCTGCTATATACTGTGCTTTTTAGAAAGCTAAAATAATAAGTGTTATCAGCAAAAGTTGTAAAACTGAATAGCTGGATATTTATAGTTGAGCATAAATTGTATCAACTTTGATTGGCTCTACTTGGCCATCAGGATTTTGCTTATGGCTGCACAGCACTTGGCAACTTTATATGTTATGACTGGTAAGAGTCAGAAAATAACAGAGAAAAGTGTAAAATTAGTATATGTGTCCTGATATCCTGATGAGTAGTGGGAGCATAAGGAAACTGGATATCTCTAAAATGAACTGAACAGCAGGAAGTGCTTCGTGGTTTGAATTTGCTGAGCATTATAAGGTAAATAATAATACTCTGTAATAATTAACATAAAATAATGATGCACAATGTTTTGAGATCAGGGCTGGGCTTTTATGTTAGCAACTGTAGAGTATTGTATCTGTGGCCAGAAGAAACTCTAAATTTGATTTCAGATTATTTAATGAAAATTAAATCCAGTTTAAGATTTCCATCCATTAATCATCCATTTTCATCTTATTTGTTAAAATCTACAAGTGGCTCCAAACTTTGTAGCAGGTCTAAAAGCCAAAAATTGTGTGGCTCTTATATAACTCTGAGATATTAGATTGTTGTAGAATATTCCTTCTCTAAGCATGGAGAGTAGGAAGTTTACTTGTGGTCAAAGACCAAAATGTCAAGCATAGTACAATAAAATGCAGCCAGTAGAGTGAGATTAAAAACAAAGGTGAATCTACAAAATTAAAGTATTACTAGAATGGGTTTAAATTAAATTTATGGTAAGAAGATGAAATATGGAAGGCAAACTAAGACACCATATTTATTAAAATAATCAGGAAAAAAGTGAAGAGCATTAAAAAAGGAAATACAAATCATCTTTTGAAAAGCAAATGATCAAGATTGCTAAATAATTAATTGTTGTACACCAATAGTGATTTTAAGAAATTTGTTGTTTTGTTTTGAAGATATTTTCTGAGCTGACAAGTAAAAGGAACTAGTGATCCCTTTTCCAATCACATATAACTATGGCTTGGAAAAGGAGTAATTAATTCAGTGTACCATGTTGTGTAAAAAGGTATCACAGCAGGATTTGTGAAACTGTTTTGTTTCCTCTAGGGCAGTGTTTCTCAACCTTTCTAATGCCGCGACCCCATAATACAGTTCCCCATGTTGTGGTGACCCCCAACCACTTATACATCACCGGGTGCCAGGGGCGTGGCCAAAGAAAAGGGGGGAAAATGGTAGACAGCCTTGTTTGGCGACCCCCGTGAAATGGTCGTTCGACCCCAAATGGGGTCCCGACCCACAGGTTGAGAACCACTGCTCTAGGGAGCATCAGCAAAGATATTATAGAATTGTAACATTTTAAAATCTTCCCTCTAAGAGGGAAAGAAAAATTTAGCTCTATCTCTCTGTCTGTCTGTTTCTATCTATCGTATTTCTGGACTGCCTATCTCTCAGAGTGGCCCAGCACTATAGTTTTTGAAGGGATGTTCTTTTCCCTGTTGATTCATAATCATCCATAATGAACAAAGAGCCTGGGGAGTGGGGGCAGGAGGGAAACCTTCAACCAGTGGACAGTAATACAAATCCATGCATCAGTTCTATTTTAATCAGAGTAAACATTCTCTCCATAGTGCCACATTAGTTACACATGGAGTCACTTGGAGTAATTCTTAAGAAATTGGATTTAATCCTTTCCAGAGGGGCCAAGGAGCTACAAGGTCCCAACTGAATATCAAACAAAAGTTGCACGTATGCCTTAGTCAAATGAAATTTTAACACTGATGGAATATGCTGTGCCCTTCTAGAAAAGCTGATTTTAGGGCATTTTGGATTTTATAGTTTTGGTATGTGCTATAATTGGAAAAACAATGAAAAACCACACCCAAATATTTTTTTAAAAGATTTTTTTAGCCACCAGGCATGTAGTCTAGGTCACCCTGGAAAAACTTAAGACCTCAATTTTAATGTAATTACTTTAAGTCATTATTAATTTATTTGATGTATTAAAATGTATTTATTTTTTAATCAGTGGAATGGCTTACCTCCAGAAGTTAGAAGTGAGTGCTTCATCACTGAAGGTTTTCAAAAAGGGATGACGTGATATAGGGCAGTGGTGGTGAACCTTTTAGAGACTGAGTGCTCAAATTGCAACCCAAAACCCACTTATGCATCGTCGAGTGCTGGGTGGGTGTGGCCCATTGGCTGGATGTTGCCAATTGGGTGGGTGTGGGTGCAATGGTAATGGCAGACTGGGTGGGACTAAAAAGTTCAATCAATCAATTCCAACTTTGCAAGATCTTTTTTTTTCCCCAAGAGAAGTTGAAATTGACTGAACCTTTTTTTTTTTTTTTTTTTTTGCACACGGTGGCGGAGGCCTAAAGCAAAAAAGTTTTATAAAACCCAGCTGAAGGCCTAGGACTGGGGCGACGGCACGCGTGCCCACAGAGAAGGCTCTGAGTGCCGCCTCTGGCACCCGTGCCATAGGTTCGCCTCCACTGATATAGTGTCTCCTGCTCGACCAGGAAGTTGGATTAGAGGACCTCCAAGGTCGCTTCCAGTCCTGTTATTCTAAATGTTCTTAAGTGCTTCCTCAAAACAATTAGGGTCTGCAGCACTATCTTAAAGCACAGTGTTGTGATGAATGAAGGCGAATATATGCGTCCCACAATAATGTTGCAGGATCCAGTCTGGGTTGGTCACCAGCACCAGAAGTTTAGTCTTCTGAGCTTTTGGACTTCTTGTGCTGGAGTCCATCCTCAGGAAATCTCTCTCTAGCAGAGTGTATTATAACAGACTTTTTGGCTAAATTTGGGGGATGTCAATCCAAATTAACTTATTTTGGTCACAAGCAGTTTGGTATATAAATTGAAGAGAAGGGGAACTAAAATATATCTCTTATTCCTCTTCAAGTTGTATTTTAGTTGACACAGTGCCTCACATGCTACCATGAAACTTTATTCTGGAGTTCTTATGAATCTGGCTTGATTGAATATTTTGGGCCAAATGTTGCAGAATTAAGGTGTGATCAAAAGATAGAGCATCCAGCTCTAAAACGTGCATGCTCATCTGTCCAAATATACTCTGCATTGACCCAGCTGGTTCGTTTTTAACTGCCTCAGTTGTTGGCTGGAGATGAAACCAAAAGGTAATACCATGAGGACCTGGAATAAAAAAAATCCTAGTTCCTGGGACAAGAGGATATGAGATTGAGACCAGAGATAATGATTCCAATAAACTCATGCCTGTATTCTCAGTACTTTTCATTTTTACTTTTTTAGCACCACTCAGATGGAGTTCAGGGTGTAGTTTCTGTTGAACCCTTCATTGTAGTTCAAGATGGAAACCTCTGCATTGAGATTATTGCGGAAAACAATGTTTTATAATAAGGTATAGCTAAATCTATATAAATGTAGGCCTCTTGGTGAGAAGACATGTTATTTAAACTTCAGTTTTTCACTTGCTAAATCATTCTTGATTTACATGTCACATTCACAATCTATTATATGGCAGAGATTAAATTGAGACTAGGGTAAAGATAATAGATAAACCAATCCTAAATTTCTGGACTTTTGTTTGCCTTCAGTTTCTAGTTTGTGACAATGTATTCATATAAATATTTTTAGGTGACGTTATCTAAATTTAAATCTTATATTACACAAATTACTATCTTTAATATGCATACACCCTTACTGCATTTAAGAAAAAAAAGTTAAATTTTAATTATGTTTAAGAAATAAAATTTCTGTAACTGTGAAATGTTTCTAACTACTTCGTGTTTCCTGTTTTAGTCTATGGGCTCCATTAAGGAACTCTCATTTAATGCATTATAGTACTCTTCAAACAGTGGATTAAAAATTACGAATTGCCTCACTTTACTATGCCTAGTTTATTTTTATTTATTTATTTATGTGTAATAATGTTGAATAAATTGTATATTTTTTATTTTCTAAATGTTGTCTCGCAAGAAAATATCTGTTCCTGGATAGATTACATTATAATTTACAAATAAAAAGCTCCATCGTTATTTTTATTCTTTGGATAGTTTATTTAGGCAATGTTCCTTTTTTAGGACTGAAAGGAAACAAAAGAAAAATGACCAGGCAAAGGATTTTTGCCAGCCAAAAAAAGAACTTCAGCTTACTCTCAGCTAAATAAGTGGATTTTTTCATAGTATTTAGTTGAAATTGTTATTACAACATCAATAGCCTGATTGTTATCTTGAACCATGACTTGGAAAATATGTACAATTTGGAAAATATATACCTTTATTAAAGGTAAGACAGTTCCCATCATCTGATTTGCCTTTGCTTTATTGGCTTAAATTCATATTCAAGAAACCACTAAAACCATATGGAATTCTGTGATTCCAATTACAGTTAAGGGCAAATAAGAGGGTAGTCTAAG